AGCGTGGTGCTTGGACTGCCTGGCCCCGCGGGACTTCAGCGGGGAGAGGGCGGAGCGAGGAGCGCGGGTGTGGGGGCGGAGCCTGCGCCGGGCAGCCTGACCTAAGGCTCTGATCTAAGGTCGCCTAGCAACCGCCCGTCTTGACGGGTTCTGGAGGAGTCCGGCGCTGTCCCGTTTCCGATGGCCTCCTCTCGCGGAAAAACAATTCAGAAAGCACTAAAGCCTGTGTTCACCGATCAAGTGTTGGGAACTCTGTGGCAGTGCCAGAGGAGAGTTGTTATTTTTTGTCCATCGCTTACTTTTTCTTTCTTCACTTCTCGCGGTGGCAGGACCTTCCTTCAGTGTAAAAAGAGAAAAGGCAAGAGTACTTATAAAATGAGTGCCCCTCTCTCCCCAACGACAGCCCTTAGCTGTCCACGCGCTGTGCGAAGCACGGATACCGTCCCCTGAACAACAGACAAGTTTGCCCGCGTTTCCATGGCTAGAAAGCAGTAGGTATCTCCCATTCAGGGGTGGCATGGCAACCACATCTGAAACACACTAGTGCCACTATTGCATGCCACCTGAGATTCGTCTCTAAAGAAACTTTTGCTCTCCTTCAAACATTGGACTTCCGAGTTCCAATACAGTCCTGGTTGCTTTTTTCTAAATATATTGGGCTGACTTGCTCTTGACTTCAAGCTAAATCCAAGGGGAATTACTACTAATTTTTGCAGTTTCTATGTCATCCATGTAAGTGATTAGAACACTAAGAGCATCTTTTGTTCTAGTATTTGGTATTAAATGCCAGACCTGACATAGGGCTCCTGAAATCCTTGTAATTTCTGGGTGATAGGAGTGTCTTTTGTTGTAATGAGGCAACTGGGTGGGCTCCTGGATGGCTCCTGGACACTGGCAGGCGGATCACCAGAAAGACCAAGACTTATTTAAAAGCTTGGAGTTTTCGGCTCCCGCCACCCATTCTTTTAAGAAAGGAGAAAGGCTGAAAATGGAGGCGGTGATCAATCCTGTCTACTAAGAAGAAACCTCCATTAAAATCCCGATACTATGAGGTGTGGAGATGTTCAAAGTGGGCGAACACATCCATGTACAAGGAGGGTAATGCGCCCCCAACTCCACTGGGAAGGATGCTACAGACTTCTCCCTATGTACCTCTTCATCTGGCTATTCATCTGTATCCTTTATCTTTTGATAAACTGGTAATGTAAATATGTCCCTGAGTTTTGTAATCTGTTCTAGCAAATAACCAAGTCCAATGAGGAGGGGATCATAGGAACCTCTGATTTGTAGTCAAGTGGGACAGAAGTTGTAGGTAACCTGGGGACTTACTTGAGATTGGCATCTGAACGGGATGGGGAGGAGCAATCTCTTGGGACTGAGCTCTGCTCTTAACGCTGTGGATCTGATGCTAGCTGTCTCCAGGAAGATGGTGTCAGAATTGAGTTAAATTGTAGGACACCTAGCTGTGTCACAGAGAATTGATTGGTGGGGGAAAACCCCACATACTTGGTGTCAGAAGTGAAGTATTCTGCATGAATAGTAAAAGAGACACAGAAAGAAAGACTGGGTTTTTCTAGAACATGTATTGGGCTGACTTGCTCTTGACTTCAAGCTGTAACCAAGAGGATCTACTACTAATGTCTGGAGTTCTTATGTCATCCATTTAATGACATAGAATCTTACGAGGACTATGGATGGATTTGCATCCTCCATCCCCCTGACACACGCGTGCGCGCGCGTGCACACACATACACACACACACACAGCACCCCCTTTGAAAACTGGAGCCTAGGCTTTAGTCTTCTGGCATATCTTCTATGCCCATGATTTCTCCAGATTACTAGCAGTGACTAACTTGCATATTTTCAGCACTGGGAATGTAATAGTTGCTAGATCAGGAGTCTTGAAATTATTTTGTTATTTGGAAAGATGTCATCATTAGAAACTGTCAAACAAGCTCAGAGTCTGGAGGCTTGGCTAGAAATAAATGATAGATTTATTCAGGGGTCTTAAAGTTTGCACACTGGGACCGCTAGGCCAAAACCCAGAGGTGTTCCAAAGAAGAGAGAAAAAGCATTCTTACAGTAAAAGTGCATTCTTGAAAATAATCAGCCCTGCATTCTTAGCCCTAGGCTTGGTCCAGGACAGTTATCAGATGTTAGACTGGATAATGGAAAACAGGTGGTCTAGAGGATGAGTGCCAAGAGATCTGGTCACATCCAGTGGTCTGGATAATGGATGTCAGGTGGATGTCAGGTGGCCTGGATATTTGAGTCCTTCAAGGGGTTACCTGGAGGTCTGGTATGTGTCCAGATATGTATCCAGGCATTAACACAGGACTAGAAAGTTCAAAAAGTTTAAGTTCCCAGACTACTTAGAACAAGCATAGAGTCTCATTCTAAGCTTCATGCCTTGACTCATGCTAATAATTTTAGCAGCTTGGTTAAAGTGACTCCCTTTTATATATATTCTTTATCTTTACTTTTTTCTCAAAACATTTTGCAAACAAAATTTGTATTGCTACTACACTCAAACATAACAAGTCCACAGATATCTCATCCTAATTAATAGCAACTCCACTTAGGCCTAAACTCCCAAGAACCATCCCCATACTCCTCTTTCTCACACCCTCTACCTGATCTGTCTGGAAGTCCTGTTGACTCGACCTTCAAACTACATCTAAGATCCTACACCTTAGCATCCCCACAGCCACCTTCATCCCTCACCTGAACAACCAGATCTCTCTGCTTGCCATCCTCCCCCAGCCCCAACCTTAGTAGCCTAGTCTGTGTAGCAGCTAGAGGGATCCTGGCTTTTCTGTGCTCCCTACTTCACTTGGAATAAAAAGTCAAAGTTCTTACAGGAGCCTACAGAGCCCAACATTAATTAACTAGCCTCTTGACCTCTGAATTGCTCTCCCTTTGCTTACTCTGTCTTAGCCACACTGCTTTCATTGCTGTTTCTCGAACCCACCTCAGGGCCTTTGTACTGACTGTTCCCTCTGATTATAAAGCTCTTCCAGATATTTGCATAACTCACTCACTTCTTTCATATCTTTTCTCAAATATCACCTTTTCAATGAGGACTTCTCTGGCCAACCTATTTAACCCTGCCCTCACCCACAGCACTGCCAGTCACCCTTACCTGTCTCCATTTTTTCCTTAGCATTCATTTATCAACTAACATATTTATTATGTTTACTACTCATTGTCTATCTTCCCTTACTGGAATGTAAGTTTCATGAGGGGGAGGTATAGTTGGCTGTTTGATTTCTTACTGACTCATAAATACTTAGAACAGGGCCATGTGTGTGGCCCATAGTAGGTCCTCAACAAACATTTGTGGAATAAACAAACGAATGAACGAAAACGTGAACGACTATTTTCATGATAACATATTCCCATCCAGGCCTCTCTCACATGCAGATGCACGAACATAGTTATAAGCATAGTATACGTATTTTGCATGATGATTTTTATCATCCCACCATGGATACTGTCCATGTTTTTAAATATTTTCATAGTTATAACCATTATTGCTTTTTAAATGTACTTAGATTTTCACATATTTGTTATAATAAGTCCAACAATACAAAGTTGTGTAAAGAAAAAGTTATCTTCTCTCCTCTAATCCCACCTTGCTAAAGGGAACTACTTTTAAAATTAGCAGATATCCTCCCAAATATTTTCTATATACACACATACGTATATAACAAGTGCCATTGCACAACTCAAAGATAGGTATGCCTGAATTGTACCTTTATTTTATAATTCAAATCAGTTTCTATTTTCGGTCTCATTCTCTCTGATGGCAAAAACTAAATCTAGTTAGTTCACGTAAATGCTAGCACTTATGATTGCTTCTTTATTAGTGATCAGATACAATTTAATTCCAGTGAATTAAAAATTTACTAATGCCCGTTCTTTTCTTCTTTCACCTTCACATAATTATCAGTTTTTAAAATGTAAAAGAAATGGACATTCATTACAGAAAAATATTAAGCAATAAATAAGCAAAATGAAAAAATAAAAACCATCTGTAAATCCAGCAGCCAGAAATAATCAAGCCTTCCAGATTTATTCTGTTCATATATATGCGTTTTGGGGATCATATTATAACTAGCTTTTATTGCTTAATATATTGTGAACATTTTTCCATGTCACAAAATATACTTCTATAGCGTTTTTAATGACTGCGTGGTATCCCATTATGCAAATGCACCATAATTATTGTCCCTGTTTTTGTATATTTGGGTTGTGTCCAACTTTTCATTTGTGCAGAATTACTTGTAGTTAAATCTCTGTGCACATCCCTAATTATTTCCTCACGATAAAATTCTGGAACTAGTGTTCAAAGGTTCACTCATGGTTGAAGGCTTGTGATGCATGCTGTCAGCAGACCTACAGAGAGGTGGCAGTGCTTTGACACTGGTAGGGAGGAGGGTTCCCTTATCCACACCCTACCAGCTCTGTCTTATCATTCTTTGTCATCATTGTTAATCTGATAGGACAGGGGTTTTGCATTGTTGTTTTAAGTTATGTTAATTACTAGTAAAGATGAACCCGTTTTTAGGCATCGCTTTTGTGAATCACTTACTCATAT